CTTCTAACAAATTCGGAACTCAGTTTTTCCCTTCGACAGTTTAGTGCCCGTAAACGATTACCACCATGGATTTACGAAGTAGTCACATGCATCCTTCCCCGTTACAATCTTCAAAGCTTTGCAGATTTCACTCGCTCGGGTAGAATTCCCAAGGGCACATGGTGCAGAACAATGACTTCAAGAATAAAGAAGATCGACCTTCAAGAATTGTTGCACAGTATGCAAAACAGAGGCACTGCAGCTGGCCGTTTCTATGCGGAGATCCGAGGTGTGTCACCTCAAATCGATCCGTATATTTGGAATTTCGACCGCACATCCACCCGCTTTAAGTTTTATTTGCGTTCGCACTCTTTTGGACTGCAAGCCCGAATCGTTCATGACGGCAACACATCTCATGCGAATCACAGCATTGTACAGAATGGGACATCCATAATGACAACTTTCAACATCAACAAAGCCTGCAAAGTGTGCCATTCGACCACACAACACGAAGATGAAAAACACTTTATGCTCCAGTGCCCAACATATGCGGAGATACGAGAACATATGCTTCAAAGAATCAGACTCGAACTTATTTCGCAATCTTTTCTACCATGCTGGCAGCGTTTTTCCAACTCTGAACAGCAAATTCAAACCGAGATTCTTCTAGGAAAACGGTTTTCCGACTGGCATAAAGACGTACCCTCAATATTTGACAAGCATCTACGCCCATTCCTTCTTGCTGCAGTGGATAAACGGAATTCATGTCTGGAAGCAAATTCCTGATGTTGATATTGCCAGTGTCTGAGCAACATATAAAGTAATGTAATTTTAGCTAACTTCGCAGAGCCATGATATGTCAAAATTACAACCTTCCTGTCATCTCCTTTACATTTTGCGCCGGGACTGTCGCTTTGCCCCTTTATCTCTGCAGATTGAGACGCACCTTGGGTCTCCTCCATGGTTCTACATCAAAGTGCATGCGCGGAAGTACCTTTTCCCCACCGGAAAAAGGCGGGCCCACTCAAAGAAGCCAAGGGACCCTCGGGGGGTTTTTAACGGCTTCCGCGTTTAGTCTAAATCTTAGAATAGCTTTGATGTAGAACCTTGGGTAGGAGACTAGCCTAAGTGAGAACTTGTTATGCGGAACATAGCAGGTCTATCTCAAAAGCTTAGGTTGTGCTGTCGTTTAACACATTGAATCCTTCATAGGGCTGCTTCTAGCACTCGAAAACCCTAATCACCGAGAACTTGTTTACCCGTACCGGTAAAACGGTCGGTTGTCAAATGAAACCATCGATCTCGAGTTGCACGGTCGGGTCGTGTTAAATGACGTGACACAATCTCGGAGTCCGCCATTCGATACTTTCCCCTCTGCTAAGCAACGGCATGGCCTCGCTTGGAATATCATCTGCATGGACTGATGGTTATAAGAGAAGATCCCACCCAAACTTTCTGCCCGGCAGGTTTCGGCTTCTGAATACATGAGTTTGTTCATCAAATTCTTCGGAAGAGGTAGCCCTCATTGACTTGCGAACGTATCAGAGCCAACGCCTCCCCAGCCTCGACAAGTACACAACAATTTGTCGGTAGTTGTCAAAACTGAACCGCCGGAAAGCTCTACATGATGCCTTTCCCAATTCAAAGGGACGCACACGCTGCAACAATGTACACGACCATGACCTACTGCTCAGTGGGCCCACGACGACCCACCACGCCTCCAAGCTGCCAAGCTAGCATAAGCTACGATTTGTGCAAGCTAGCGTTAGGGCATATCGGTAGATTAATACCGACGGTACTAGAGACAGGGTTATACCCCTATATTCTGTACGTAGGAAGTGTACATGCAGTGGTAGAGTAGCTTAATTTTCTAATCAAATGTTCAGACTCGCAACAAATTGTGTACTCGCTCCCACTGTCCGCTACTGTAGGCAACACCGTGGTGCAGTGCTTTACAGCAATACGAACGGTCGATTAGGTTGCTGGTAAACTAGACCTTTGAACGAGGAACTTGTAAAGTACAATTCACACGAGCTAGACCTTCTTAGGAATATGTGAAGTACAATTTACCCATCGAGGTTCACCCATGTATTTTGCCGTCTAGTAACATTCGCCTTATCACCACCGCATCGTTGAAATAGTTGTCAACCTACTTGAGACCGCGCCGTACTTGTTACGGCAACTGCAGAGGGGTTGGTTATCACTACCGCGTGCTTGTCCAGTTCAACGCATGAGGTTTCGAGAGTCCTATCTATGTACTTCTCTATACAAGCGTGCTGGCGCCGAAATCTTCCGAGTGACACGAAATTGACGACCTGACAACCCTTGATATGCTCGAAAGCGCGCGGATACTGTACACCTAACCTTGACACAACGTGGTCGTTTACCAAAGTACGTGATCGTTTACCAGACGCGGGATCTGGCCTGATCTAGTTCGGCGTATGTAAGCGGATGTTCGCTACTCGGGACGAGCGCCTCTCCTCTAGAGACCTCGTGCAAGACTCACAACCTCGCTCGTCGAGCCAAGAGCTCTTCCACCTCCTCGCCACGTGGCAGCTCCACAGAGGGTTTGCTTTCGAAGCGGCCAAGCGCAAATCGATGTAAAGGAACTTCGGGGCACTTTCCGGTTGTAGCTAGATCGGCCATGATCTTCCCAATGAGGGGGCCAAACTTGAAGCCATGGCCTGTATGGAAAGGCCGTATAAGTGAGCGGCAACCTTCTTTTTAGAAGCTGATACGTCTTAGCGAACCGGTCAACCTGACAATTCGCCGACAAGAAGCTGCCGTTGTTGGGAAAGATAATCAGGACGAAGTGATATGGCCAACGGCATCATTCGTTGTCCGACAACAAATGTGGAAAATGGCACTGACAACACTGGTCAATGACGGTAGGTCAAATACGCTGTCACGCATGAGTCCCTGACGATGCATCCGCAACAGAAGTGTCCCCTTTCTCTTCAACGAGCTGCTTGAATCCCCGGGAGCATCAAGTGCGCATCAGAAAGCAGACGCTACGCACCGGAGAACCCAGCCGCAACCAGAATTGGGCCCTTTTGTTTCGGTTGGTCGGGCAGCGGCAGAAAGTCGAGGATGAAATCCTGCAACAGGTGTCAAAGATACTCAGTACAATACCAGGGCCTGGCCTCGACACTCTGCCGGCCAGTGTGGAGAAGGAAATAAAACCTTTGGATCTCGGATCTCACCCGTCGCCTCCTTTTCTCCACGCCTAACAGAGAAACACACAAACGCCTTACTCGGACGACAAATGCTAACATCACCCAGCGTCGTGAAAGACCTGCAGCCCTTGTCAACCACCAACGCATTGACTCCACAGAATTAGTGAACAGGCCAGGAAACTCGGTTAAAATCATGAGATCATATCAGCTTTCCAGAGCTGACGTCATACGTCAGTTTTCGCTAACATTGCTCGCCTCATGCGTCGTTCAAGATACACGCAACCCTCCGCAAACATAGAAAACCTAACAAGGTTACTTAACCAGATTCCCTAACAAAGAAACCTGATCAGATAACGTAGTCCATCTTATCTGGTGTCTTGAGATCTACGCACCGCTTTGCGAGCGCAATTTTCAGCAGAAGCTTTGTTTGATGTAAAAAACGGCGAAAATAGGCGAACCTTGAACCTGAAGCCTGATACCACTGACCCTTAACTCGCGGAAATACATGCACCCCTCCGCCTGCTCCACTTTGCGTTTGTTTTCAAACCTCACTGTGCCTACCCAGACCACAAAATGACACCTACTCAGCTGACGTCACTGACCTCGTCTGGCGTCATGGAGTACATGCACCCCTCCGCAAGCGCGGGCGCGTCCGTCCTCACAGCACTCCCAAACTTTTCCCTCAGAAACGGCACCACGTACTTGTGGACGTCCGCGAGGAGCGGCTCCGGCGCGCGGGCGTCCGGGTCGCAGAGCGGGCCCAGGTGGAAAGCGGCCTGCGGGACACAAGAAGATGACGTCAGCATAACGTCGTTCGCTCGAGTTGAACGCAGGAGAAGAAAGGAATATGGCGTCGGGAGGTGCCGTCATGGCCCTCGGCTTCTTGCGGTGTCGGCCGGCCGAGGAGTGCAGGCGGGAGGGAAGCAATACGACGACAGCACTGGAGAGAGCCAGTGAGCTCGTGGCACGACGGCAGCCATGCAGGTTGCTAACAACCCTGCTGCCCGGGTCTGGCTGACGTCAGGACGAGATACCAGGAAAACGGCCCGCTGACTTCACTCGACTTTTGGATCCGCAGATTCGGCTGAGTCTGACCATAAGATGCGCTCAGCAACATGGGCAAAGCCTTCTACTCTCGTCCAACGCAGTGGGTCCACTGCCTAAACGATTGAGTGGGTTGCCTCTTTGACTCCAATAAAAGTCAAAGACAGCTCACAAACGGCCAAAGCGGCCCAAACGACACCTCAACTTTTCCGGTTGGACAGGGCCCACAATCTCCACGGTCGCTCACAGAACGTTGAGCTTATGAAATTGCCAACTAGATGGGCGAGCTCCCTTAGGAGGCGCGGACGGGGTGCACACTGACAGCTAGGCAGACGGGATTACCTTCAGGAGGCCGGGAAACTCGAGGCACGGCATGCCGTAGATGAGCGCCGGCTGCTCGTAGTTGATGAAGACGGGGAAGCCCTTAGCGGCACTGAAGCCGTCCGTGCCAATAGTGCGCCAATAGGCGACCTGGAAAAGGGTAGGAAACGAGGTGACGTCAGATGGGACGTAAAGCTTGACGACCGGGTCAGCAGTAGAAGGGACACATTCCCACTGGTTCACGAAGTTTGATTTCCAGGAAACAGATTGCGTTGCCAACCTGCCTTCGAAAAGATGAAATGGCGACAGCCAACCTGAATTGCAGGAAGACAGACTGTCTTTCCCAATCCCCGCAGAAGCCGGAATGGCGGAATCGCAATAGCGGGGGTTCTTGGCGAACCTACCAAATAGAGACCATGCGCGGATAAGCACCCCAAGAAGCAGGACGCTTTACAGGGGGGAAAGGCCCAGAACAGGAGCGTCAATCTACTTGGGAACAGTTGAACGAGTCTAACTCCTGGAAAAGCAGAGACAGACAGCGCTGCTTTTTCTCACAAAAGGGCGTCTTTCCAAGAGCAGGAAAGGACATCAAGACTTACAAATCAGCGGGACGAGAAGCGAGAGTGGAGACCGATAAGAACATAAAGGGGACCCGAAGGGAAGGTCCGCAGGGAGTAGATGGTAAGAAGGGAATCGGAAAGACGAAGGAAGAAAGAGAATCGGAGAAGTACGCACAGTCGTATGAAGGGGCTCGACCGGCACCTCAACCCCGGCGATCTTTTTGAAAAGCGACTTGCTCCATGCGCCTGTAGTTGAAAGGGAACGCCGTTAGCGGTTTCTGCAGAAGACCAAAGGCTCAGATAGGGGCATCCAGGACAGATGTGGGCTGTAGTATGTGATCCTTCTCAAGGCATTGAAACGGGCAAACCTGCGGATTGTTATGAAACATTAGCCGAGATCTCGCTTGTTTGAACTGGAAGCTTGGATTGTGAGCCGCGAGAAAACAGCAGTTGAACCCCGGGATGCGCAAATGCCAATCCGCAACCGACTCGAACGAGGATAACGTCAGCCGCAGCTCTCTTGCATACCAGGCTTCGCGCAAACGTCAGCGTACAGAGAGCCCACAACAGCGTCCAAAATCATAACGAGGTCGAGGCTCCTTGAGCTCAAAGTCAGGTCAAAGGGAAGAACTCCGTGACCTGCTGCAATGACGCACTTCTTGCCCGCAAAGACCGTGCGTCCGTCGTTCGCCAAAACTTCTACCCCGGTCGACCCGTCAACAAGCCGCTTCGTGCCGATGTGCTCTATCTGCGGGTCAGGGGGCAGGCTCGTGTCATGCTGACGTCTAGAATCATGCGCTTAGTTTTGAGTGAAAGAACCAGAAAGACCCTGATTCGAAGGTCTACGATCACTCACCAAGCATAGGCAGATATCCTGCACATTCTGACACCTGACTTGCAAAGAACGCCGACAAGAGCAGCAAAAATGGTTGTCGCTTTCTCTTGAGCTTCATCTGCCAGACAAGGGTAAGCCTTCTTGGAAACCGACACGGGCCCATCCAAGGCGTAAAAGGGCCGGCAGCGTACCGTAGCTTTTTCCACAACACTGGGGGCCTCGTTCATTCAGAAACGGGAAACTTGATGCTACGATGGAAACCTTCAATACAAAGAGAAACTCAACGATTCGACCCAACCTCCCCGAACGCCCCCTTACAAACGCAGCGAGACTCGCCGAAAGCACTTCACAAGCGATTGGTCAAGACAGAACACCGTCCTGCAATCTTCACGGCGCTATGTCGAGGGAAACTTAAAACGCGCTCGAAAAGACAATAACTAGCAACGGTCCTTGCAGCCTCACCTTGATTCGGTCCCTGAGCGTTGCACCCCGTGCAGTGGCTAGTCGCTGAAACATCGCGACAGCCTTTGTGGCGTTGAGCACACCTGAAAACAACGGAAAGAGCAAATGTGAGCAACAGGCGAAGATAAGAACAAAACGTTCGGGCTGCGTTTTGCGTTGGTTCCGTTTTTGGCCCCTATTTGCAAGGTGCTAAATGAGCTGTCATTGCCACACACACACGCGACCGTTCAATAATGAGAACAGTAAAAGGAGTAAGCAAACGCTGGCGCAGATAAAAGTTGTCTCGACCAGAAATGAACTTGTCCCGGCTCTTAACGAGGTCCTCACAAGCCAGTTTCGACCGCTTTCAAGAGGTACAATCGTTGAAAGCAAGAGCGCAATATCGGATGACGTCAAGGGTGATTGGACGGGAGGAGGAGCGCCCAACCTGCGGCGGGGCTGTAGATGGCCACGTGGTCGTCTGGGAGACGCAGCTGCGGGAAGCGGTCCATCGCGGCTGCGGCGGTCAAGACCTCGTGCTCGACTTTGTGTACCTCGCAGGAGCGGATGAGGCCCTGCAACCGAGGTGCGAAATATTAGATGAAACATTCGACGACGCCAGCTGAGATTGGATTTCGACCATGCAGAAGTCCGAGTCAGCTTCAGGAATACTCCTACGTCGACTTCTCTTCTCCAGAGGTTGAGGAGGACTCGTTCCCTACCTTTTGGGAACACCAACTGAAAAGGGGGGATTCTTTGCGCCGCACTTCTCCAAGAAGGTCCTGTTTCAGAACGGCGTGTAAAAGCTATGCGAGCACTGGGTGTTAAAGACATCAGGAAGGACTCTCCACGAAAATTTGGCTTCTGCTTGCGGTTCACGTCTTCGATCAAACTTACTTTCAGAATCTTACTCCACGCAACCTTTGCGAGTAGGTTGCGTCTGAATGTTCGTGGGCCGTGAATCATTTGCCTACAAAGATCTTCGTTTCTCGTGTAGTACTTGGCCTGACGATTTGGTGAATGTGTATGAACTTAAGACAATACGAGGTAAGATTCCTCACGACTTCGGAAGGATGCGGATGCCAGACAAAGGCTGTTGCTCTGAGCAACTTCGGAAGATCCACACCGGCATACTTCAGAAAGCAGTGGTTTGGTGAGACCAAATGAGGCAAGAACGTACCTGCACTTCAGCATTGTTGCGCCGCCCAAAGTCGAGGCCCCCTGTCTGGGTATAAACCCGTACGCCCGCCTCCTGCTGTGCCTCTTCCCATAGGTTATACGACAATTCCATCATTTTCTGCACAGAAAAGACGCCATCAACTACTGACAGGTCCCTGATGCTGGTGAGAATATGAAGCAGAAGGGCCTCCCTCCAGTGTAATCTACCAAACTCCTCGTCCAGATGACTGTATCTCAGACTTGCCCGGGCTGCATAACTTCTGCAATAAGTAACCTCTCTTTTAGAAACATTGTTAGACCTAGTTCGGGAACATCTTTGAAAGAAAAAGGAAGGACACAGAGAACCCAAAAGAGAGAAACTCAGAAAGGGAAGCATGCGAGAGCAGTAATCATGCCAAGCAGCTCACAGTGTAATAGTCCTGCGGATATGTGCGCCGAATGATCCTTGACTCCCCATGACTGGACCCCCGCCGGTGCAGGAAGTCAAACTGCTCAAGAAGGAGCACCGTTCGACCACGGCGCGTCAATTCCCAAGCAGTGGCGCTGCCCATGATGCCAGCGCCCACCACGATGACGTCGTGGGTGATGTCAGCCATCTGATGAAGAAGGCTGTTCGACTATGAGAACCGGATGGAAAGTTTGTAAACGATGTGTTAGCATTTTGAAAACAAAAATTATAGGGAACATATTAGCGTGTTCGATCCCTCTCTCTCCTTTTACGCCCAATAGATCTGAATCCACGCCAGAGGCTTGAAGGAAGAAAGCTGCTGCCAGAAAAGGACACGCAACTGAATGCAGTTGCGGGTAGACCTCATCCTGAAATGTTTATAAGGCAAGGAAAATGTGAAAGCTTCAGGACTGGTGTCTAAACGACAACCACTGACCACTGTAAATGATAAATGATAAGCCCCCCAGCTGTGGCATGCTGCAGGCCTTATCGTGTGTTGTCAGCTCCTGGAGATCAAGGACGATGTATTAGTCCGAGAACGTCGTCATCAAGCTGCTTGAGCAATCGAGTATTAGACAGCATTCAGCCTGACGGCTGCTCGACAACAACAGAGCAACCATGATGCAACGTCGATTGTTTAATCCTGCTTTGATTGGCTGCAAGCTCAATGGATATTCATGTACAGACATGTGCCAGAACATTGAATGAAGCGCAGGGGGCCAATCAATCTCCTTGAAGTACGCCACAGCAAAACACAAGCGCATTTGTGTCTCATACTCCCTACTTGACCAAGACATCCCAGACAAGAGAAACCCATGTTTGAAAGCGGCCGGTCAGTTTGCGCAGATGAGCAGCATTTCAGCTCCTTGAGCAGAAAAGGCGACCACTATAGGCACTACTTTTTAAGCTGAGGAGGAGAGATGCTAGCGATAGCTCAACATATCTCCCAATGCTTCAAGATTGCGGTCCCAAATCTGGGTCCACACCCGGCGAGTCAAAAGACCGATGCTGCCAGCTCATCTCGGAGATCTCAATTGCATATGATACAGACACATTGGATTGAAAGGATAAGAGGTACTTTTAGTAAAATTTCAGCTGGTCCTGCTTCCAATGCTGGCGATTCAACTCACTCACTTTAGCTTCAAGCGTGATCGTAAGTCCAACGGAAGATGCCAAATCTGCTCCCCTGCTCAGCTGCAGGCTCAGTGGGCCCAAGCCTCAAACTTCAAAGTGCGCTGCCAGAGCAAAGGAGCCATGCGCACCACTTCTGTTTGAGCCTCAAGGCTCAAGGCTGATCTCGAGTCGTGGGGCTCACGAGTCAGAGGCTGAGATGCTCGATCCCCACACTGCTACGAATTCTGGGTTGTCCCAAAGGGTGTACATGTGAATGCGCTCCATTGGATCGTTACCGAACGTACCGTGCGGTTTGGCAGACGGGTCCCGGGTCCGTCAGGGGCCCGTAGCCGCTGGAGCTAAGGTACGCCGTCTTTGAAGAACGGCACCAAACACGTTGTGTGACCCTATCGTGTGAGGGTATTCTCACCAGGCTGGAGTCAGGTGGCGCGAAAATGGGAATTTTCAAGCTGCTTGAAACAGAAAGTTTCTCGTCTCTCAATCTGAATCAGAAAGTTGGAGGAAGGTCTGGCAGGACGGTTGCAGAGGCGCAGATCCGAGAAGAACATTTTGCGAGAGCGGGGCGGCAGGGCGCTTTGAGTCGTGAAGGAGACTTGTAAGTTGCTTCTTCCAGCAGTCCCTTGAGAGTAAAAGTACGGTGGTCGCAGCGCTTGCAAGGGCAAGCCCCACCGGAAGAGGACAGAACTTGGTTGTAGGAGTTGTACGAGAAGACAGGAGGTTCACCAAACAAGGGCTGAGTGCAAAGAGGTCACAGCCATGCCGAAGAATAAGGGTGAGTTGGTGGAAGATTGTTTAAGCTTGTGCACAGTGTTGGAGGGCAGGCTTGTCGTGCACCCTTATGCTTGCCCTGTGCAGCAGCTAGTGCGTCTTTCACTAAACCTGCTCTATGAGGCAGATGCAACACTCTTGTTGCGCATGCAGCCTTTGATGGCGCATGACTGTTGACTCCCTTTCCTGTCAAGTTCTTTTACATGCCCTGGTATGTTTCTTATTTTATCAATGTTGGAGACACTCTAATAGTTGGCTTACTGTTTAGAAGTTGGTGTACTGGCTGGGAAGAAAGGCTCATGGTCGAAGCAGGGGACGTTATGTCAACTTTTGGCTTCTACTAACATCCTCTCTTGAGCCATCCTGAATCCTTAATTTCAGAGCTCCAATTGCTGAGTCTCTTTCAAAGCAATATCAGCCCCAGGTCAAATTGACCTTTGCATCCTTTTCAGTCCTTGCCTCATCCAACTGCTCTAGAAGTTTCCATCAGCCATTCCAGAGAGTGTTTTCGGTTGGAGCCTGCTGCTGGTCATGACTTGACGGCAATTCTCTTTTGCCCGCTGGTGATCATAACCCTATGTTGTATGGTTTCTGTTCTACAAATTGGGGAGGATTACTTCAGCTCTTGCTATTTAGAAGCTGCGGGGCTTGTGTTCCGCACGCAGGTAATGGTGTTAGGGTTTGAAGTCTGTCGCAATGTCTGCTTGTTTCGCGTTCAACTGCATACTTGTAATCCGAAGCTGCAATTGTATAAGGGTCTCTATATTTGATTCTTGGCACTGTGTGCGCCTTCATGTAAGTCATGCTTTTCAGGGCTTTGAGCAGGCTCGCAAATTACCTTGCCCGAGAGGCTGGCCAAAGGTTTGATTGCATTCTCTAGTTTCTTCAGTTCACAGGAAAGATTAGTACTCCTGCACCTAGGAATGGGCAGACAAGCAGTGATGAGGCGAGTACGCAGTGCACAATTGATCAGAGAATCTTGGCCTTCATGTTACTGTAGGTGACAGATCTTGACCCATGATGATTCCTGTTGAGCAGGACTGTGGGTGACAGAATCTGACCCACAATAAATCCTCTTTTGTAGGAAAGGGAGGAAAGAACAGGAGAAGAGGAAAGAACGAGAATGAAGAGAAGCGAGAGCTGATCTTCAAAGAGGACGGGCAGGGTGAGTTGCGGAGCAGTGTTGGTGCTGGAGCAGCTCCCGATTCATTTTTTTTCCGGCACCTCAAGCTTGTCTTTTGATGTTTTTTCTGGATTGTGCGAGAGGTTATCTGCTCATGGCACTGCACAGGCCGTAGTGATTGCTTCTAATTTGGCAGGTGGGGGATTCCGTCCTCTTGCTGATTTCTTTGTCAGCACATTTAGCCGCGTCACACTAAGCCACTTCACTTGGATTCCTTCAGTAGAGCTTTCTCTGGAGCGGCGTGTGAATCCTTTTTTCCGCTCTGCAGAGTATGCGCAAGTGCTGCGGATGCTGGGGAATGGACGGCTGGAGGCGCAGTGCATGGACGGCAGTAAGCGGCTATGCCACATCAGGGGAAAGCTTCGAAAAAAGGTTTGGGTGAACGCGGTAAGTACTTATGCCCTGCCCCGTATTTGAATCAGAGCTGCAGAAACGAGAGTCCGTGTTTTTGAAGTCAGTGTCTATGTACTGCACCTAATGATGTCTTGAGGTGGCGTAGCGTCTGGAGCATCAAGTATGTGCTCACACTTTTGCTGCACCAGACGCTACTGGTCTGATCGTAAGCTTCTGTCTTGCAGGGAGACATCATCCTTGTTGGACTCCGAGATTACCAAGACGAAAAGGCTGACGTCATTACAAAGTGAGTCGACTTGTTGCTTTCCCTCTTGGATCCATTTTGCCCAGGCATCTCCCTTAAATGGGGCTTGGCATGCGTATTGCAGATTCGTCTGGATGATGTCGGGCAATATGGCAACCTTTCCCCTCTTCACGAAGGTTTCCCGTCTTCATCTCTGGATTTCAAATCTTAGAATCTGGACACATGTAACTGGATTGTCATCTTTCCTGGCAGGTACATGGCTGACGAGGCCCGTAGTTTGAAAGCCTACGGAGAGTTGCCTGACTCGAGTGAGTCCTCCGGTCCTTGTCTCGCAACGCTCTTGTGCCAAGTGAACTGGCAGCCATTATCTTTTGACATGGATTAGGCCGTTGTTCAAAAGCAAACTTGGCCGTAATATGTGCGTGATGATGTTTCGTTTGATAGTTGTGTCCTGGCTGATCATAACAGGTTGGCCTCTTTTCGGTGTTCTGGTCCTGTGCCGCGGTGGAAGTTAAGCCTGGATTGGATTCTCATTTACGTGTTTTTTCGACCCTGCAGTCCGTGTCAATGAAACGGACACGTTTGCTGACGACGAGAACGAAGAGGACGACTACTTCGATTTCGATGACATCAGCGAGGTGAGCACGGTTTGCTGTTCTCTTCTTCCAAGGGCGGACTTGTTAAATACGTTTCCCTGATGTTTGCTGGCACGGTCGAGTTGAGGGGATGCTTCACCTGTGATCATATAGATCTATGTTCGCACGGTGCTTGAATTTGTACGACCCTATAAGGCAAGTGTTGAGGTGCTCCAGGCGGCTCAAAAGAGGCCTTCTCATCTGGACAGGTCAGTATCCTCGTCGTTTCTACTCCACTTACGTTTCCGTTGTTTTCTTTTGCAGATCTAGACACGTATCTTCACACATTTCTGCTTCTTCTTGAGCGGCTTCAGGCTTCTCTTCTCGTAAGCCTGAGGTCCAGAGTACTAATCAGAGAACGAGTCGGAAGCTGTTGCGCAGCAGACAGTACAGCAGCAATGAGTTCGATCAACATCTTGTCGATCTTTAGGTCTTCAGATGGCCTACCCTGTGGTGGTTTGAAGGGCTTGAGGATTGTTTCCTCGACTTTGAAAAGTGTAGAAGTTTATAAGCAGAGCTTGTTGTTGTTCAAATCAAAGGTGCTCAATGCCGACGGTCTCTATCCAAGTTTCCAGACGCCACTCCTGGCACGCTTTTACATAATCAAAGGACGCCTTACAGGATGCATGGTTTGAAGTGTTGCTGCTTGTCGTGTCAAAAGTCAATTAGGCAGGCACATGCGTTTTTGTCGTTTGCATGCTACAGGAGGCCGTTCATTGCTAAGGTGAACTTACCAAAAGGCGACACGTTAACATGCAACAAAAATGGAAACGATCTTGGAGTTCGGGACACTCGTTGGCGTATGCCCGTACGTTCTGAAACATCAGGTGTTAGACGCCAAATGATGTATTGGCACATGAGAACGTGCATGACCGTCGAGGCATGGTGCAGGCGGGGGCTGGGAAGCGGGCGCCAGCTAATGTGTACGTATGCGAGGCATGCCACGGAGCTGCCGCCGGCATGTTCTGTATAGCATTATAACTGCATACACATGATGGTGTGACACATGTGATGAGTGAGTACGTCTGGCCTGCATGGCGCATATGTCTGGTTTATTGCGCGCAAGGCCGGCCGGCTGCAGCCGCCTAAAGGTCAAGATATTCGCCCGCTCTCGCTCAGCGTGGTGACAAATCAGCCAACTCAGATCCGCAACATCTTGAAATGAGTCTTAGGCTAGCTCTAGCTTTGATGCAAGCAATCGAACTTTCCAGGGGTACGTAGCAAATGTAAGAATACATTAGACTGCACGAGCGGCGACGCGTGGTAGCATGTCGATCTGTCAGGCCGGGATCGTATATGCTAGAAGTGGCATACTCGGAGAGCAATTTGGACCGCAAAAGTGGCATTCTCATATGCAACTCTATCCTCTGGCACAATCATTAGCTCGCAAACGAGCAGTCCAGAAGATTGAGTACGCAAGTATGCACCAGTGCGAGCTGCAACTTGGCAATGATGGTTGCAAAAGATACTCACGATGAGTACGGATCATAGAATGTATACATGAAGGTTTTGCCGAGACGGTGCTTTTACGGAACGCTGCCAGATCAGTAACACAGACGCGTGCCTGTAACTTATGTAAGGTTCAAGAGCTTCGTCAGGGTTGTTCTGTTTTCTAAGGACGCGGATGCAGGTATTGAAGGGCTTCGCTTAGCATGCTTCGAGCCACATAGAGAGACGTATACTGGACAAGAATGTTATCATGCATGCTGATTGCAGGTTAAATGATCTGCATTGATGCAATGATCGGCCATTGTTGGTGAGGATCGGCGTGAGCGGCAAAAAAGTGTTCATCGAACCATCCGACGAATCCAAAGATTAGCTTGCAATTCGATCCGTCGAGCTTTGTTTGACAGTTGGGCGACGCGAGCTGCGTCACCCGTATGCTGCGACGTACATATTCTACATCTATATGAATTGTGAACTGACTGTCTATCATAGAGGTCCCGCAAAAGAAGCCCTCAAAAAAGAACTGGAATGTTCTTCCCATCCCGCCTTTACAACCTCAGTGCCTCCATGGTCGCGTTGAAGGAAGCCTCCCTTTACAAACGCAGCAAAAAGAGTGCGTAGCCTGCAGTCTTTGGGACCCGCTTTGGAGTGGGCGCTTGAACCTCAGCTCTCAGACGTATCAAGCGCTTTCCCAGCGACGTCGTCTTCCGTCTGCGACGCTTTCCGGTCGGACCCCACGTAGCGGAAGTACCGGAATCCGTCCACCTTTTCCGGCCGGAGCTCCGGCCGTTCCGTCCGCCCCCTCAGCACTTCGCACACGTCTTCCATTACCCCCGGGTGCGTGAACGCATACGTATGCCCCGCCATGCTCTTATCCAGGCCGGTCGCGTCGATGACGTGGACGTTCTCGGCGAGCGCCACGTGGCGGCCCTCGGCCACGTGGACCTCGAGGTTGAAGTGGCCCAGCCGGTGGTGGCCCCCGTGCAACTTGCGCGACAAGTTGAGCGGCCGGTCGTTCTTGGAGCAGTAAATCGATACGCGCTCGACCTGACAACGGAACGTTGGACGTTACTGTGGGCGTCCGAACACAAAGCTACGGAATTGAACATTTCGTACATTTGAATCTTTATTTGACGGACCGGATTGCAACTTCGGCCAATTTGGGCCTCCACAAACGTAGATGGCCTCGGGGTGTCCATGCATGGCCTACGCCCACTTTAAGCTTTTGTCACGGTCCGCTTCAGGAGGCCGAGTATAGGCGGTTAATGATCAATGACTTGGACGCGTAAAGCTGTCGCTCGCTTGGGACGGAGGCTGACTGCCCTTTCCGTTAACCAAGCTCAAGTACCGCATGGATGCGGAGCCACTTATCGACGAAGGTCGTTCACCTTTCGTTGCGACAAGAGCACGGCTACGAGAAGCGTCGATGCCTTCTAAACGGCCTCCAACAACAGGTATTGCTTACGTGATATCGTCTTGAAAGCAGACGCCGACTTCGACAACCGAAAGACGTTGACAGAATAGCGCAAAAGAATTGGTTCATCTGCCCTCACCTGTTTGTTGACGTCTCAGTGCATGTTATATAAGTCCCCGTAAAAATTCTTGACGTGGCAGATAAAATACTAGATCTACCGCGGATGACCCTATCGTCAAGTAAGTATTTTCTCAGAATCCTCACCTGTTTGCTGACGTCTGGTTGCATTTCGTAAAACTCCCCGGTGTCAAAGTCCGGGGCGACCAGCAGCAGCTGCCCCAGCCTGGCGGCGCCCCTCGGAGGTCGCCACGCGGCCAGCCGCACGAGCGCGTAGAGCGCCACTTTGGTGCCCAGGCTGTGCGAGATGACATGCACCTTCTCCAGGCCGTATGAAGTCATCAGGCGCTTCAGGAACGTCACGAAGTGCGGCACGGTCCACATCGCGTTCGCCTCATCGCCGCCGTACTCTTGGAGCGACTGAAAAGAGTGGTTAGGGACAGGTTAGACGCAAATCCTGGTTTTAATTGATAATTGGTAACTGATGCGGTAAGTACTGATGCAGGTCAACTGCGGGCAAGATGTGGTGACCTCAGCGTGACGGCAACGGCAGGGATTGGGACGGCTGTGCTTGTCCGTCCCTTATGATTGTTGAAGCGATCTCCGGATCTCGGAAGAAGACGCGACGATCTGTCCGGAAGGACACGTGTATCTCAGGAGAACAGGGCCATTGAGATTAAAGAACTGGTGAACGCAACGAACTTTGGTGCGCTAGAGGCACGCAGAGTCAAAGCCTACAAGAGAAGCCGTGCGAACCCGGAATATTCAACTCGAGATTCGAAGTAGATGAGAGATACATGGAAGTGGCTAGAACATGTGGGCTGTGATACAGGTCCGAGTAGCCTGGACTGCCGATGTCAGAGCAAATAAAGTAACGAGAGAGGCGAAGTACCGCCTTTGAGTTTCTTTGAACTTTCACAACCTTACGATGGAAACGGCACCAGTCATTCAGCGGAGCGAGATCAAGCGTAGAACGTGGCCCAGATCAGGGCATACATAAGCACAGAAAGTCGCTGAAGCCCAGAATCTGGTTACAAGCAGGTTGTGCTAAACCCCTGCGTCTGGTTCAGGAGCCCCACCTGGAACGACGGCCACTCGTAGAGAAAGAACGGCATGCGTCCCCGCATCTTGTACGCATACACCCCCATGTGCTTTGCCGACCACGACATGTCCGTGTCGAATCCGTGTACGAAGACGGCCGCCTCCCGGGGACCGCCCCCGAACCCGAGCGCTGGCCGCACGTGATGCTCGTAATCCATGACGACACATGCCGTCATCTCGGGGCTGTTGCTTGACTTTCCCGTCGCGCGACGCGGGCTATGGGACCATAGGTACGGCAATTGCGCGCCCTGCGACGCAATGTGGTGGTAGTCGGGAAGGGAGACTTTGACGATCCCGGTTGACATTGCGCGCGCGCGGTTTGTGCTGAAGAGGTCGGCCGGCGTCCGCGTGTCGGACCGCTGCCGGTCGGTGCAGAAGAAGAGGGGGACCTTTACGTACCCTGCAGAAGAACGGAAGCAGGCAGGTTGTCAGTGCCTTGAAGCATACACAACCCGGAGAGACATTGGCTCCGGTGTTGTGACTCAGTTACTCAAGGCCCAAGTGTGGCCTGTGCAGAAGACGAAAGATCTGGAAGAAAGAGCTGGTTCCTCATGGTCGAGAGGAATTTCTACGAACCTGTTGCGTCAGTCGGATGGCCCAAATATTTTCAAGCGGATTGAGGACCCACTAGAATATGCAAAGCTGGGTCTATCTAAAAAGGCAATGGATAACAGCGCGAGGACCCGTTGTCTTTGTGAAACAAGAGCGCTGTTCCTGTCAGGGAAAGCCATCCGTAATGTGCTGAATCGCGCTGGGGATGAAGAGATATCGGTTGGTTTTGAGAAGGAGAAGAAACTACGGCAAACCAGACATCAGACCCCTCTATGGCAACCGAAGCTCAACAGTGGGCTGTCAGGCAAAAGCAAGTTGTGTCACCTCCTGCTGTACAGGACGATGCGAAGACCACAAATAAGACTAAGATTTGATTGTCAGCTCACTAGTAAGAGAACCTATTGACATCTCCCTGTAAAACCCTGCAAGTGCAAATTGCCCCTAAAAGGGCTCATTTTGGCGCACCACAACCACACCACTGAAAGCCCCGTCTTTTTCAGCTCAAACTCCAAGATTCCAGCATCTTTTAACCCCAGCATTTGTGCCCGAAGATCTTCGGACTCACCAGTCCCACCGTCAAGCTCAAGCGCTCTCGCAGCCTCCTCGTCCCCCAGCTTCCGAAACAGGCGGTGAAACTGGTTGCGCAGCTCCTGTTCCTCTCGCCACTGCTTTGGCAGCGCTGTCGTCACCGAGTCTTCCTTTACTGCCCCCTCCAGCTCCTTGTCGTTTTCCGCGCACTTCCGAAACTGCTCTATGACTCCGTCGGCGATGTGTTCTAGATCAGCTTTACGTAATTTTGAGCTCCGATCCGCGGTGGGCAGAATGCGGTCGTGCAGCTCGCCGGAGAAAGACTGCCAGTCGTCGCAGCTCATGTGACTCTGGATGAGCTCCAAGCGGTTTATGAGGCATGTGAGAAACACACAGCGCTCGGTCTTCTCATGAGACTTGTAATCGTAGGAATGCCGGCGGCAGCCGGAGCATGAGAAGCAGAGCGCCTTCATTTTAACTGCTTCTCTCTTGGCTTGGTGGTGCTCAGCCACTGGATAAGCAAGCTGACTTGGTGTTTGGATTGATGGTCACCCCATTGGTTAAATGGTGGTTAACAGTGGTCAAAGTGGTGGCCCTACCAGCTTGACAGAGCTTTGCAGATTCTCTCTAGAGCCAGACAAACAATCTGCTTCTTAGCTTCAAGTATGTCCTTTTTCCTTTTACCTTTTCCCACCTTTTGCTAGCACTCAAATTGGGCGTGTGGCATGGGCAAAGCTTTGCATGCATACACCGGCAGCTGAGCAACATGATCTACAAACCAAACTTCCCAGATCCGACTTGGTCAGGTGTTTATCATACTTCGCGTGCTCCAGTTCGACAGAATGTGTGACTTTCTTAGCGCCACCACTTGATTGGGGTACCGTCACGGTCCCAGAACCAGACAGCTCCCCCTGATCTGCAAACCCGCCGCAGGGCAATCCGTCTTTTGTCAAGTTGCAGATCGTACCAATTTAGAATCTATTCCTGAGGACGTTGGAACTTCAGCTTCTTCTTTCCGATAGAACTTGAATGGGTCACCACATTCTCTGTACAAGTCAACAAGATACCGCAGCTGTAGCTTAATGTAGGTATGCCTGCATTAAGCCAATTGAGAATCTACAAGGTCACCCCTCCGTAATTTCGTCTAAACCGTATGTTGAACGTGCAACACTGGTCATCAAGTGTTGCGAGCCTGGGGGAGTGCCTCATTCAATCGGCTCGCAGCCGGAAAGGATCTAGATCGTGGAGTGGTACTCCTATTCCAGTAAAATGCACGACGGTCGCCCTGCTTGGTCTGCGCATATCGACAGCTCTATTCAAACCGCACCCGCAATGTGGCCGCAATGTGGAACTGATCAAAGGCCTCTAGATCTTTCACAAAGCACACCGGACCATCCTTTTAGGTATAATGAGACACTTGCCTCCTCCATGCTCCACAGGTCGGCATCATCCTGAATCCTGATCCTGGCAAAGCCGTTTCAAGACTTGTAAACGCACTGCTGTTCTCAGCAATTTGTTATTCCAATAGAGTCTGGAATCTGGAAGGCTCTGGATTATGAAATGATTGAAATCGGATTTCTAAACATAAAACCGGCCCACGCCGCGCCACGCGGCGAATGCCGACGGGTGCATCATGCACTATTGTCACGGGTTCCCTAAAGCTGCCACCTGGCAGGCCCTGCTCGTTCGGCACCCTTTCACGTGGATCAGCATGGGGTCGGCTAGCCCGTTCGATGGTTAAGCTGGTTATCTGGGCGGTCCGTTTTCGCGCGAAGCTGCTAATGTTGGCAAACTTTGAATTGAAGAGTCCAGACTGCAGTGCGCTTTCCCCTGATCCTGATTCCTGACCCGTTCATAGGTAGGTACCGTATTCTGACCTTTCCGAAGTAGAGCAATTGCAAACATTCTCAAACAACTTGGAAGGATTGCGGCATTTAGCGTTGCCTCAGCGTCGTGCCAGTGCCTTTGACAGGAGCCTCTAGCTGTTGCGTGTTGGTTTGTCTGGCCTTGCGAGCTACCGAATATCAGGACACTTTGGAATTGTATTGCCAAGAAGTTATAGGCCCGTTGCTTCATAAGTCCATGGCTCCGAGCTTGAAGACGCCGCACCATGTTTTCCTGCAAAAGCTCATGGTCGAGCATGTGCTGCCGGAGAGTGGTGCACGGCAGCTGTACAGGGATGTCGCACAAGCAGAAGGTGAGCAGATTTTGTTTGCGCCTTGTCCTGGGGATTGAACGTGCCGATGCATTTTTGTTGCTTCTGGGTGCTCATCCCCTGCAAGAGACCTTGCGAGCTTCTTTTAAAAGTTCACCATGTGCAAGATAAAGGACGTCCCGATCTTTGAACTTATTCTATCAGGTGTGGTGCGCGTCACGCTGTCACATAGAGCTGCTCCATGTTCAATCTGCGGATTACCAGGCCAGGGGTGTCTCACGACATGCAACTTCTCGTTTCCCCCTGTTCTTCCACCTTTACGCTTTTCTCTTTGCTCTCCTTATATGGAACCTCTAAAAGTAGGAATAAGATCCAACCTTACAAACCCTAAACCAAAGTAGGGGCAGACAGTGAACCCTTAGTGTCAAAGCGGGTGTTAGGTGGCAGGTTTTTGCTTGGACCACCAGTAAGTAAGCTGCCAAGAACTTACTTCCGAACCTGCACCTTTCAAAGGAAGGAATCGACTTGAGGAGTGTGCGCCTCTCTGCAGATGCTGCCTTTGGCAAATTCGTAAATGACATCAACGATGAGCTCAGCTTCTTGTCCATGGAAATTCGCATCCAGACATACCAAGGGGACGGCAAGAAGTACTACGGGCTGGTGAATAAGGTGGCAGACGACCAGGCAAAGCTAGGCACCAAGTTTCAGCACGGGCAGATTGCCCACTTCAAAGCAATGGTAAGTACTCTTCCCGTGAAAGAAGTTCCTGGCTTCTAAATCAGTCATTCGCCTCAATCGCAAGTCCTCAACTCACTGACCAGTTCCGGATTTCCAGAGGATCAGTCAAGCCATGTCATTCTCGAGGACTCTGCTTGTAAGCAACGAGCTGCGCTAAAGAAATACTCGAAAGTGCCCCATTAGCGACTATGTGTAATGCTGATATGACAAGCCACAGTTCCTGGTCAGGTCTGCAAATTTCAGAAGTACGCTGCTACCTGGATAACTTGACAAACTCCGTATGTCAGTGGCTTCGGTTGCTCCTTTGTGTGGGCTTTCTGAACGGTTCGTCAGGCTTCTACAGAGGATGCAAAACCAAGGGGGATCGTACACTTGACTTCCAATGTTTCCTCTAACTTTGACAACATCTGACTGCTCAACTGACGGCTTGCTCAACAGACCGCTTCTGTTTGCAGCTGGAATCTATTGTAACCGAGTCAAAGGGCGCTGGCGCAATCAGTACCATGGATGCAATCAACCTGCGGCCCGACCTTCAGGTTTGATGCGGATCCATTATCTTTGGAACGGTTGGCATGATGTGCTATTGAGGCAGGGAGTTGGCGGAATTCTTTTCGACGGATTGTTCAAGGACTTCCCAGGTGGAGTATCCTCACAGAGACAGTGCAATGGTGGGCTTTAAGTGTTACATTTCAAGCACCACTTCCCATACAATATCCTGGCAACTAAGCAGAGGCAACTAGTGGAATTTCAAGAGGTCGTTCGCCTTTTCCAAGAGTTGGGCTGACCACAATAAGAGCTCCCAATGATAGCGCCCTTAGACTTGCTTCAGTGACGAACCAAACACTCTTGAGCGCTTGGAAAGTCTGCCATGATTCATCAAGAATGTGAACAATTTAGTTCGTTGGATTCATTCGGGACACCGTTTCTGCATGTGCATGGAATCGACCCCAAGGGAGTGGTCTCTACTCGAACTATCCAATGCCATTGTGTCTCCGTCACCAATCAGGCCATGGCAATCTTCAAAAGGTGGCCAATACTAGATTGCTGGTTGAGCCACTTAAAAACTTATGAATCATTGGATTAGAACCACTTAAGCAACCAGCTTTCTGTCCGAGTCATACACATCCCATGCTGCCTATCAGTCACCAAGACGACCATAATAGCCCATCCCACAGGCGCAGAGAAGCCCTTCACAGAGCTTGAAAAAATGAGAGAACGGTCGCCGACGCTTCTTGCAGGGCAACACGCAAGCCTCCGAGAGCAGCCAAGCCGCCGCGGCCCGCACCCTCAGCGCATCTGAGAAGGAGAAGAACATTGCGGAGCTGATCACGGAGGGCTGGCTGGAGCGGCTGTCGGACGGCCACCTGGCGCTCGGACCGCGGACGTTCATGGAGCTTCGGACGGTCATCCAGTCGTTGGACGTGCCAGCGTGCAAGGCCTGTACCGAGCCCGCAGTCAAAGTGAGGGACACGTTCAGACAGTTCAGTTGGAGTGCGCTTGGGTTTGGGTTCGGGTTTGAGTTCGGTTTCTGGTGTGGCTTCCACTTTGGTTTCGGGTTCGTTGCATGCGGGTTTGGATTTGTGTCCGGGTTCGAGTTCGGTCAGCTTCCGCTTCGGGTTTGCGTCCGGGTTCAGATTCTGTTCCGATTTCGGATTCCGGTTCAGGATCAGGTTCGGGTCTCGGTTTAGTTTGGGTTGGGTTTGCTCGGGATTCATGTGAATCAAGGGCCAGGTTGACCAATGTTACTGCCAGGGAAGGCCTAGAGTTGAGGGTGTTTGGGGTGCACCATGAGCATGCTGACTTCGGATATTTGGGATTCAAAGTACTTTGTTTCTTTCGGGGGGCTTATGCTTCGGTCAATCTGCTCCGGTTCAACAGGCTTTGACAAGTTTCTAGAAGTGGGTGTAGCGCGTCCGGCGAGGTAATGAGCTTCCGGAACACAGGCTTTCTGCAGGCATACAGGGAGTCGGGCGCAGGCAATCCCTGAGGTGGTGCTTGACCGCTTGATCTGCGCGCTTCTGACTTACATGTGTGGAGAATAGGATCCTGGATGCACCGTTCCTTTCGCTCAGATTGTCTGATTAGCTCAAGAGGGCTTGGCGCCAACCGTTGTTCTGCCCAAGAAGCGGACTCGGCTTGCTCGTACTTCCCCGGTTTGGAGTCTTACATTCGATTGCGCAGGGTAGCATGCTCAAAAGGAAAGACATGTCGACGAGAACGATGCAAGGCATTTTTTATTTTCAACTAAAGATGGCGCAGAGGAGAGAAAGCCATCCAGCCACAAGGCTGCAAGCGGGTCCCAGAGGCTTTCTTGAGGACTCGCGCATCGTGGACAGACCAATCTGTCTTCTAAATCAAGCTAGGCGACGTTTACAGTTGTGAGAGTACTTTTGATTACCCCTGCGCAGGCCCAGGTTTGCGAAGCGCCCGGTTGCCTCACCTGCTTGCACGACCCCTGCGCGAAGAGCCGGTTCAACGTGTAAGTCTCGTGGTGGTTACTGGTCCAAAAACAGCGATTTAAAGGCACGTTTGTTGACCCTGTGCAGGCCCAAGCCTGTGAGGCGGCCGGTTGTCTCACCTGGCTGCTCGACCACTGCGCCAAGAGTTGGTTCAGCCTGTAAATCGAGTGGTGGGTATGGGGCAATAACAACGGTTATCAAAACCCGTTTTTTTAACCTTGTGCAGGCCCAAGCCTGTGAGGCGCCCGGTTGCTCCACCTGGTTGCACGACCACTGCGCGAAAAGCTGGTTCAACCGCCCGGGAGAGCCCCGGACGTGCCCGGAGTGTGGGGCAGAGTGGGCGGCAGCGCCGCAGGAGGAAACGGCGGCAGAGGAGCGGGCTGAGAATCTGGCGGCGAATGGGCACAGGAATAAGAAAGCGAGACGGGAAAGGCGGTCGAAGACGTGAGAAAAGCTGTGTATGAATGGTATTACAAGGCGGCCAACCTGGTTTATGCGAAGCTAGTGGTGGTATTGAAATGAGCCATGGTGTCTTCTATCCGGTTCCTGGTAAGCGGGGGGGTCCCTAGGAAGGTGCGACAGTCTGTCGACAGTTAGAAGCTCTTGTTGATTGTCACTGTCTCACTGTGTGTTGAGATTTTACTTCAGAGTCTGTCGCTGAATTCTAGATGTGCCGCAAGGCTCGACTCTAATAGGAATTTGCATCATGCAATCTCGAAACGGCAACATTGCGGAGCGTCAACAATCAATTTCCCCTGTCAACAAATAATGTGGGTTGATACCAGAGGGATTGTGATGACCCTGATCCAAGTTACATGTGCCACTCAGAAGATTTGGCCCAGTGGCCACCGAGGACGGGAGCCGCCGTCGACAACTGCAATAGTAAGCGGTGTTTCAGTCTGCATGCGGGTCGGTAAATATGTTAGGTTGCAAGTTTCCCGGCCAGATCGCTTGTCGTTCTTGCAATCGCCTGCCTTCATTGATGGTGAGAGGCATGCGCATGATTATAACCACCACTGATATTCAAGTTCTGGGTAGTTTGGGTAGCAGCATAGCCGTCTCGTTGTAGGCCGGGATCTTGCGCATGTCCTATATTCACAGGGGTATCCCGACTGAATGATAATCGATTGTCGGCGGCTGGAGCCGCGTGCCAACATGCTCATAGATTTAGATTTAGATTTAGTTGATTTAACGTCGGTTCGGAGCCGTGGTCGGCTAAGTCGACGAATGTCTCTATTTACTAACTCTGCACTAAACTCGCTCTTAATGCAAAGCTTAAGTGCAAATACAT